TATTTACTACTAATGGCAGTATATAAACAGTATCTACTTCCTGTGAAAGTCACCAGTTTATAAAATCAAAATATTAAGGCACTCAGACAAACAGGCTTAAATATAATGACCTTCTAATGTTTCACAAACATTTGACTTGGGCAATAACAAAGAGTGTTTAAAAAAAATCCACTTGCAAATTAAAAACCGTAATGATCCCAACAACACATTCTCACCCAGTAACAAAAAGTTTTAAGTCAACAACATGTAGGCTAACACATTAAATGTTGGCCCAGTGACACAGCTGTGGGAACAAGCTGTCCTAGAGCTCCCTCACTAAGGCTTGTGGAAGGTTGTCACCATTGGAGGAAACTATGTGTGTGTACACATTTATTGTGAAAGGCAATTCAGGCTCGGGGAAAAGAAAGCCTTTTTTACTGCAGCACTCTGAACTACAAGTATATTAAAGATAATAAAATTATGCTCTCATTTTGTTCCATAATAAATTATGCCATCCTGCTGCCTTTCAGCTGTACAAGAGTTGCTACTGAGTGTGTTCCTAAGGCCCAGCTAGCTGCCTCTTGGATGCTCTGCAGGGAAGTGGCAGGGCTTTGTGGGACACTGAAGGCATCCACCAGTGAGTGACTCATGGAGCTGCAGCTTGGAGCTCTTTGCAGTTCCATAAAGGAAATCAGGAACACTGACAACCACTTATTTTATTTTACAAGGTACATGGATCTGTACAATAGTATTGTATCAGTGCTAAAATTTCTCTTGATAGTATGCCGCTAATCAGGGAGGTACGCTTCAGCAATAATTTGACTTTACGCACGAAGCCAGGGTGCAAAACAAGGTCATTAAAAAAAAACAGAATGGCTTTAGGCTTTTATGAGTGAACGAGTGGCAGTCTGTCTGGGTCTTGCCAGACACAGCAGTGCTTCCTGCCTTCTGCAGGAGACCCTGTTTCCAACAGGAATGAATTCAGAGAAGCTGAAGTTACAGGGCCAATGTATCACAGGGGCCTCTAGCACTGAGTCACCAGCTTCCTGAGGGGCCCTGAGATGTTTCTGGAGCCCGTTAGCAAGTGGGACAGCCAGGGGCAGAAACTGCTAGCACAGCAGCTGCCTTGGCATGCTCAGGCAAGATCACTCCCTTCAGCAGCAGCCCCCCCCTCCCGACTGTTAGTCAACCCCGAACCACACTTAGAGAATGCATTCGTCTCCACTTCCTGGTCTTGGCCTTTTAGTGCTTTTACACACAGGAACACCAGCTAGACTGAAGCATGGTTCCTCAGGTAAGAGCCTAGCTGTCCTTCAGCAGCTCTGACCTTCCATGCTATTCAGCTATCCTCTCCAGCTGCTGCCTACCTGCTGAACTCCAACAGCATCTCAGCCTTCCACAGGAATAGCCAAGTGCTTTTGCACCTACCTGCATCACTTTTAGAGGAACTGGAAAAAGGTGTGGGTGGACACATGTCTGTGCAGATGACCCAGTGCCTACAAAACAGGGGGGGCCTGGTAATAGCAGGGAGGGAATTAAAACCAAGTAGCATAAGAGAAATGAGAAGAAAGCTACAATTAGTAGTTCAGCCCTCCTTCCCACTCCCAACTAGTTAGTGAAGCAGAAAGAAGACTTAAGTATTAACAACCCCAACCATAACAGACACACAAAGCTGAAATCAGATTACAGGGATCAACTGCTCTGTACACGCTGGTGCAAAGCAGTCAGTAGATCTTGAAGTAAGCCCTGAAGAGCACCAGGAGCGGGAGGGGGCATGTAATAGCCCACAGCCATATCTGAGCCTGGAAAAGCCACCACCATGCTCTTGGGGGGTTTTTCTGGTAAACAGTCAGACCACTGAACTCTTCATTTCCTACTTTTCAAGAGCTGCTGAAGTGCTAAGGCTTGGACAACTGGCCCAAGCCAGAGTTGACCTACAGATGAATCCTGTATATTTTATCACTGATAACCATTGTGCTAGTAGGTGTTGTACTAAGTTATAACAACCCACTTATGCTGATGTAAAAAGTGCTAAAGCATTTAAGTACTGAAGCCTGAACAACAGGCCCCAAGCCAAAGCTGCTAACTTGGTATGTAATCATTAACAAAGTATGTAAGCTCGTGAAAGATGCAGCCTAGAATATAATCAGTAGTGAGGACGAAATGCTGAGAGAATGTATCCAGCTTCCCTTGTTTAGCCTTGTTCAAGGCTGAGAACCCACGTATCTGCCCTTGTTAGAAACTCCCTTGGTTTCCCCCTCCGAGCCCTGGCCAGGCTTTGGGTGAAATCCAACAGGAGAATGAAACCAGAAATTTTCCACTCAAAACAAAGGTGCCAGCTATTCTGGCTTGTGATTTGGGGGTATATAAGGCTGGGCCCGTTTGCAGCGACTGTGGAAGCCTCACCTACGGGTGGACGCCCCGCACAGGATTTCCCCCTTGCCGAGACAGGCTCCCCAAACCATCGCTGTACCCGGGGCTGCCCAGCCACTGCGGGTCTGGGTAACATGTGCAAGTGGTGATGGATCTTTCTTAATCACTATTCTCCCCATCATGTAGTAATGATTCAATGCATTACCCTGTATTTTCCTATTTGTTTGCTTTAGGTGCATTATTGTCTTTTCTTCCTGCATGTCCTGCATGTTACATTATTTAGTTATCACCAGTAAAATACACCTTCTCTTTTCACTCTGGTGTCTGAGTTTAACTGGTATCCTTAATCAGCAAAACAGCTGCATATTTCAAGAGGTATGTCAAAAGGAAGTAGGACCTGACCAAAAACCATCTCCAAGTTCAATATGTTTAATCCTTTTCATTTGCTGTCACTTGCAAATTAAATGTCCTCTCAGGGACATACAGGTGAGCTCCTTTCTAAGGAACAAAATACTGAACCACAGATGTCTATAATCAAGTTCCAGCTAACAACTGCCAGTAGCTCTGCCCTGCCAAGGGCTGACTTCAGCTGAAGGCTAATACTGCACTGCCAGTATCTGGTACTAGTATCCAATTGTCTTAGGAAAATTAATTAGCTTCCGTCTGAAAAACATCTCTGTTCATTCCCACCCCACTCCCAAGTACCAACGCTTTTACCAGTGGGATGTAACATTACACCCGTCTACTAGACCTAAGGAGCATCCAGCCTACTGTGTTTCCACACAGAACATAAAAGGAGCTAAATTAAAACTCTTAATTCAATTCTCACTCTTTAAAGACAGAAACATTCAACCCCAAACAGTAGCTTTCCACCTGTGAATGGCAGAGCAGTGGATTGGCCCTGGCCACACAGTTGCTTGCTCACTGTCCCCCCAGCAGGGTAGGGAGAATAAGAGGAAGAAAATTTCATATGTAAAGATGAAAGACAGTTTATAGGTGGGTGAGAGAGGGAAGAGGGGAAAAAAAAACCCAAAGCCAGAAGTAAAATCTCTCACCACCTCCCAAAAGCACGTAGATGCCCTGTTGGCCTCCAAGCGATGGCCACCATGAAAGGCCCCTTCTTCTTCCCCTACCTCATTTTTTTATTGCTGAGCAGGACACGGCCAGGAATATCCTCCGTAGGGCAACTGGGGTCTGCTGTCCCGGTTGTGCCTCCCCCCCAGCTCGTGCCCACCCCCAGCCCACATGGCCCATAAGCACTGCCCAGCCGTAGCCAGTAGACCAGTGTTCATCAACACCCTTCTAGCCAGGAATACAAAACACAGCACCACACCCACCTCTTGGATGGACACAAGCTCTGAGACCACCAGACCCAGAACAGCTGCCCTGAGCTGTGCAGCTGGAGCCCAGCAGAGCACTGATTTCTTGAATTCAAGTCAAGGCATGAGCAAGACATGCATCAAGGGAAGTAACATTTTTAATATCAAAAATCGCATTTCTGCTATCAGCCACCCAAGTCTTGTTTTTTTCAGTTTGAGCAGGAAGATCAGGACAGCCAATAGTTCATTTAATTAAGGCCTGTCTTAAGTAACTAAGCACCTTAATTTAAACTCAAGAAGGACACTGATTTAATTTATCTGACTGACAGCTCCCAAGGTGATCCCTAACTTGTCTGTAGAACCCTAATACAGATATTTTACTTCTACATGGTCCAAATTCTCCAAATTTTCAGTCAGCCTGAAGTTTGGAAGCAAACTGTGTTTATCTTGTACTTGTTCAGATATTAATGTATTTTAGATACCTGTCCAATTGCCTCACACCACTTTAAAATCAAAAGAAGCTACGGAAGGGCTCTAACACAACAGTGCAGGCAATACCAATCCACTGAGCCTGCACTACCATCTTGGCACCTAAGACAAGGAAAGGGTGAAGGATAGAGCTTCTACCACCACCACAAAAAAAACCCAAACACACCCCAAAACCAAAAACCAACTCAAGAGTTACCTGAGTCTGCTCAAGATTTACACTGGAACTTTACAAGACTCTGACTGCTCATCCTCCTACATTCCTCAAACCTCTTCCTATACCTGCTCTGTTTGGGAAGGATCCAAGTTTTTCATACCAACTCTCATCTCTGCAGACCTCTAATTGTGGGGTAAATTATAAACCAAGAACTACAAATCTTTCCTACCATGCAGAAATTAAATTATATTCAGGCAAGAAGACATTTGGCTTATATCAACAGATATTAAACACACCAAGCATTTTATTTAATAAGTTTTATTTATGCAAAGCCAATCTAAAAGTGTGTGTAAAAGTGAAAAGCTCTTTTTACATATTAATAAAACTTGTGTGTGTGTGTGCACTTTCCATGTGGGAGGAGTGAGGATTTGACTGTTTTATTTACAAGAACCCACATTGTTTAAAAATATAGACATAGGTAGTAAGTCATTCTTATTTTCCCTAAAGCTAAATGCTGTACAGTATACAATAGCTCAAAGTGCCCAAATAACCAAGGGTGGCCCATGACAACTTGACTATACAAGCTTTTCATGCCTGATGAAGGATATTCTCATTTTTATGTAATGCTTCTGCCCAAAGCTTGGTTTTGGGTGTTTTTCAGGCGTTTTTAGGGGCTTTTTAAAAAAAAATGTATACAGTAGTCAAATTATATTACTATGCCACACCCACTATTTCTTTAAGGAAGAAAACTATGTTCCTTGACCCTCCAGTTCGGCTGCTGCTATATCTGGTTCTTCATCATTGTAAATGTTTTCTGCCTAAAGACACAAAATACCACATTAAAAATGGCAGACAACCATTTTTAAATAATCTTATACACTTTATATAGAAAAAACATGGTAATAGCAAGAAAGCACAGACATCACCCCCTCCTTAAAGGGGCCCTCTCCCCGCCTTTTCTTAAAGAGCGGCCAAATTTAGGAACATGCAGACAGTGGCTTGACTTCAGCACTTGTCTTCTCGGGTTGTTTCATTTCAGCAGAACAAGTCTTAGCCATTTAATTCCTTACCCTGAACATTTTATTATTTGGACGTAACCACAAAAGAAGTTAAAGAATAGTTACTAAAAACTGGAAGCCTGACTTGTCTTGCACATTTAAGCCTGTTACATTTTAACTTGTTATTTCCAAGTGATTTTATTCCATATTTATAAGACAACTGATCCAATTCCTGTGATGTAAAATAATACGAACTAACTGGAGAGTTAGAAGGCACCGTGCTTCACAGTCATTGTGTGGGGCCTGGGAGGGAAAAGGAAGTCTTGGCTAGCATTTGGATTTAAGTTCTCAACTGCCACATTTATTCTCAATATTGACTAGTATCTAAGACTTGGAGTCAAGAATTAGTTAGCAGTTGCCTTTATTCAGGCTGGTTTAGTCTTGTTTTCTTTTGAAAGTCTTACTCTCCAATCAGTGTCAGAAGTAGAGGGAACAGACTGCTTCAGCCACTGAAGGCACAAGCTGCCCTAAGAACAAGCCATTTCAGTTTCATTTATGCAACAAGCTTCAGAGCGACTCAAGAGCTGTTGACACTCACCATTTGCCATATCTGCATTATGTTGTCCTCTGATACAGAACAGATTACCCAAGGCTCATTAGGATTCCAACTGAAGTCTGAGATTTTGGCAGTGTGTCCTCCATGAATAAACTGTTAAAAAACCCATAAGCTTCAGTAAGCCATTTCACCTCTAGAGAGAAATCTGTTAAAACCCAAGATTCAGAAGGTAAATTCATAATGGTGACAACTACACAAAGAAGAAAGGTTCACAATGCAGTTGTCAAGAAGGGGTGTGTGAAACAGCACGTTCCATTCATCGCTTACGGACACAGATACAACTGCTGAGACAGCATTCAAGAAGACAGTTCATGTTATTACAGCAACAACTGACTGACATCCTCAAAATGGTGCTACTTCACACAAGGTTGGGCAGTGAAATCCAGCCATATTTTACATCCATTACCTCACCTAATTATATAAGCACTTACACCATTACCCAGGAAATGGGGAAGCCAAGTTATAAGCATTTTTAATTGTTTGTTTCCTAAGAAAGCAAAACCAAAACATAAGCCTTTGTACTTTCTACATCAGTAAGGTTTGCAGCCACATGGGACCTAATTGGTCCAATGCTAGACAAACAACTTGAGAGGCCTTGGCTCTACACGTGTTCAGTTATAAGAGTAGCGACCAGCACATGGCCAAGCTATAAAAATGTTCAACAATAAAGATGTGTGAATCATGTCCAGGACAGCTTTGGAAAAAAAAAAAAAATATCACTACCTTCAGAATCGAACAGAGGAAGCTACTGTGGGTTACAGCAATGGATTGAAAACCAGGGAGCTGAAAAGACTTATCAACTGCTGCAGTTTAAGTAGCTGTGGTAAGGCAGCGTACTGCCATACAGCATGTCAGCAGACTGAAACCTGAACAAACATACCAGCAGCTCAGGAGGTCCGTCTTCTGCATCCTCTGCAGATTGCTCTTCTCCAATTTTACTGTAAGAAAGTAGTTTATACTTTTTATTAATAATGAAAATTGCATCCTGTATCAGCTTAACAGTGCCTAGTCGTTTCCAGTAGTTGATTTTGCTGTTGGTTTTTCCCTCTTTCAAATAACTATAAGGTACAGAACATCAACCATTTGGTGTTATCATTACTGAAAAAGAATCTAACTTGTGAAACACATGGAGGCAGAAATCCCTTATTACTTATTACACAATTCCATCAGCAAGAAATCCTCACAGAGAAGTAACATCAGAATGTTACACACATACTGTGCTGCTTCTACTGTATATCTGAGAAACCAGGTCCAAGTTATGCAAGCAAGGAAGGCTAGAGAACAGCAAAAATCCAGTCTACCAAATAAAGTAGGTCTGCAGCCTTTTGTATTTTACCATCTGTTCATATACACTAAAAGAAAGAAAATGCTCTTCACCTCAGATCCCATACATTAAGCCGACGATCAGTACCACTTGAAGCAAGAATTGTTTCATTATGAGGAGACCAGTGAACCTATTGAAAGACAACAACTTGACTGGAGCACAGTTACTGATTTCTAAAGCATATCCTGAATAATCCCCACCAGCACCTGGACTCTAATTTTCAACAAGACGCAATACATCAGTTTCTTCCAGCTAAAATGATGTCCTACAGCTCAAATCAAGTGCTTTAAAGTCTTAAAGATGTCTAAGACTGAACAGCCAACATCACTGTTAAGATATTTACCCTATCCTGAAATTTAATTGTCTAAAATCCACTGTTAATTGCACCTACCCAATACTAGATTTGAACCCAAGTCCTCTCCACAGGAGGACATTTTAGAGAAACCTTCTACACCGGTACTGAGGGTAGCTGCAAGCTCCCAGTACATTCTTAGCAGTAAATTGTAGACTACTTGCTTCAGTCTCAAGTTGGGAAAGGTAAAAAGAAACTATGCAATACTGCCCATATTTATTGAACCAAAATTCACTATTTAATGTTTAACAGACTTTTGTTTATTGTAGTTGGCCATCATAAGAAAATTTACATGTTCTTGTCCTAGTCAGTACTCTTACAGATTTTTTTACAGGTTGTGAGAAAAAGTTTACCCACCTGAAAAATTTCATCTTTATGAGACTCAAAAGAATGGAGTTTCAATTTTAAATTTCGAAGATCCCACAGAGCCACTGTCTGGGAGAAGTAACAAGAAACCATTTTTACTATAACGGCTGTAGAATTGTCATCTAAAATACTTATAAAGTATGCACAAGTAAATACCTTGTCAGCAGAACCAGTTGCTAGAATGAACTCACTGTACGGGTTGAAAGACAGACAGTTGACCTCAGCTGTATGAGCATCTACGGAATGGCTTGGCTTGGACGTAGTGTTAGATCTTGTGTCCCAACTGTTGCAATGAAGGATTTGTAGGAGAGCGAGGGGCAGTGAGGAGAAAGAGTGAGCACACGTAAATTTTCACAGGACATTGTTTTTCACTACACTACACATTAGTTTAAGAGACTACATTATTGCTAAACTTAAATCTGAAACTACGGTTTTTATTCAAAAAGCTTTCAGGACTTTGTGTCCATTGTACATGAGCAGTTCACACCCAGAAGGTGATATACATATTAATTACATCTTATTTTCAGATCATGTGAACACACTAAACAATATGCAGATTTCAGTGATTCTGCAGCATTACTACAGTTGATTGCACTAAAGAGCTACATTAGACCATCTCATCATTCAGGTCTTTTTAATCTAAGTGCTCTGGACTGGTCTACTGACAGCACACAGAAGGCATTAAACAGAAACTGCTTAGCCCTGACTTACATCATAAGCTTCTGATCATCAGCCACAGATCCAAACAGAGATTCATGGAGCAGATGCCATGCCACATCTTCTACTACTGCAGAGTGTCCAGTAAAGATTGCTTTCGCATCAACAATTTTGCCTTCTTTTGGTCCAGCACTTACATCCCATAAACACACGGTCTGTAAATAAGAGTCACATTCTATTTTTATGTGAACTTCAGTGTTACCTTAAAAAAAAAAACCCAACCATATTCTACATATAAACAGAGATGACGCTCCTGCTCCTGAAACAGGTTGTTTTTAAACAGGAACACATAATATGCCATCAGAAATCAGATGAGTTATTAATCCGTTTTATTCAAATTCAAGGCCCAAGAATTATTTATAAGGTCACAAAAGCAATTTACAAAAAGCATCCCCAATTCAGTAGTTTGTGTTTCACTTTTAAAGCCCACACAGAAATTTGCTAGCTGTCAGTCCAATTGATCTTCAAGGGTCTTACTCATTTATGGTCTCAGACCCAAGCCAGTTTAAAAGGTTGTCATACAACAATTTCTTCCAGCAGAAAATAAGAACATTCTGTTCTTACTTCACTGAGAATGTTACAAAGACCTGGTTGTTGATTACAGCCTAAAGTCAACTGACAGCCTTTAGAAATACAATACGTAAGAACTTCCCCACATAACAGCTACAGAAACCCAGTTTTTCTCTAATTATCTATTACAGCATAAATTAGCAGGGGTGATTTGGTTGTTTGTTTGTTGGGTTTTTTTTTTAATAGGGGAAAAGATGTGTTTTTTACATGATCATCTGATGCACTGAGAAGATGTCCACTCAAATTTGAGTTCCACGATAAGCCATAGCCTTCCTTCTGGTGCCCTCTTAATCTAAGGTCAGGATTACACTCTCCACTTGGGTCTGAAAGAGAGGAAATTCCTTCCATTGAGTTTCACCTTGCACATCAATCCACAAGAGCATCATTATCACCCAAGAACTTTGTTTCCATCGCAATAATGGCATTTCACACATCGGCCTTGCAGGAGAATGCCGCTTCTCTGGAGACTCGCTTATGATATTGAGCACAACCAGGCAGTTAAAGTCATCAAAGATACGAGTCTTCCTCTCTTTGGACTCCAGAGCCCATCATCTCTCCTCCCAATTGCAGTAAAAATATATGTTTACCTTTCAACAACAAGAAGCATTTTACTTTACTTCAAGGAATCTGACCCACCTGGTTTTGAAGGATGTTTCGTGTAGTCAAATACCAACACATCAGCAGATGGTGTTTTTGTAGCAATGATGCAGGGATTCTGGGGCATGTAACGAGCACGGTTTACTTCACCTTCATGGTTAATTTTAATCTCTGTTTCAATTTTGCCAGTCACAGATCCAAAGCCACCAAACTCTACATTTATCAGAAAAAGGTCAATTTATCACATCAACTATTTTAAACAGGTTAAACAGCATTTCATGCATGTCCTCCACTCCAGGAAGCAGTGGTAAGGATCTTATGAAAGACTAGCACCACACGGCACAACGGTATTAACACCAGATATTTTGAGTCCTCTGATAGAAACTAAAGCTCTGAGTTTGTATTTGAGGTAGGTGGATATCAGTTTTCACCACAACTGACAGAGCTGGCAGAAATACTAGTAGGGATTATGTATCATAGCGTTACCCAAATTGTTCTGAAATGTTTCCTCTTTTTAGTAACTATTAATGATCTAGAATTAGTGTGAACTGATAAGTATATGTCAGCTTTAGTATTTAACCAAGTTAGAATACCATTAGACAGGACACTTATTAATGCTACTGCTACAGCATAATCTTAAGAATGTATGCGCTGCCCACCTCCTTTCTCACTGTCATATTGAGAAGCATCAAACTGATCATCATTGGGAATCTGGACTCTTGCAACAACCAGGTGGTTCTGTTCATCGGATGTGTGTGTTCCCAAAACCAGCCAATGCAGAGCATAATCCTTTCCTTCTGGCCTGTTCAGAATAATAAATGCATGAAATAAAATTAAGCGCTCAGTTCCATAAGTTTGATAGCTAGCATCAATAACATTCAAGATCCAAACTTCTTCAGGGAGCTAGAAAAGAGAGACTTGCGTAAGAGATCCTTTCCTTTGTCACAAGAGACTTCTGCAATGCAGCGAACTAGACTCAGACATAAGCAAGCCAAAGATACAACCAGCAAAGCTAAAGTGACAACACAAGTCAGTAAACTTTGCCACTACAACTTGAAATGGACAATTACAGTTTGCACAGTAGCTAAAGGCGATGCTAATACCTACTTCTGTCTTTAATTCCCCTAGCAGTAGCACAGTATTGATTTAGAAAACAATCAATACTATTTTCTCTAAAACACTAACACTGAGGACAAATGGCAACTTAGTTACTTCTCTTAGAAGCTTTTACCAGTTTTTATTTTATTTCAGAAGTTCATTTTTAAACACTGAGCAAATTCTATCTAACTGGAATCAAGTTTCTCTTCTGGCAGTTAAACACAACATTTAGTAATAAGTGAAAGGCTGGATGGACAGTGCCATTTAGTTCTGAAAGGAAAAAATCTTAACAGTCAAAACCAAGCAAATTCTGCATTCCTGCAGACAAATTACGCTGCCTGAATCCAAGCAAACAGGAATCACTGGGGCAGTCATAAACTACTGTAGGTATTGCCACACCACTTCCAAGGCATCATCATATATTTTGAAGGGAAAATTAAAATATGAAACAAAACAAGAAAACACACAATGCACACACACTTACTTGCATCAGGAACAGGTGTCCCATCATGTCAGGTGCCATACAAAGAGACAGTCCTTGCCTTATATGGCTTACATATTTTGACACTGGATAATTGGAAATACCAGGTTTTAAACTGAATATTAAGTCAATCTGCAAAATACGAGGCAAGCAGAAGTGTTCCTCATAAGGGCTCCACACCCTCACATCCCCACTTCATTTTCTCCATGCCACAGCTAGTTAGCTCACATCTCTCAACATCCTCCCCAAACATTCTGGTATACAAAATTAAGTGATCATCTAACCACCAAGTATAACATCACATATTTAAGGTGGCATTTTGAAGAGGAAAGAGATCATCCTCTGATTATTGCATGAGCTTTACAAAAAAGCTATTTTAAAACCTAGCTGTATCCAGTTTACAACAAGAGGGACACAGTCCTTGTCCACTACCTCAACAGAGCCCTGAGTGGTTACCATTACAATTTAAGTTCTGTAGTAGCTGGCACATGAACCGAATCTTCAAAATTCTTTAAGAAATTGACCAGTGAGCCCACAATTTTCAGGGGGAGGTGGAAGAATGGGAAAATTAAAGTATGTGAAGTCAACAATGAGCCAGGGGCAGAACCAGGATGTGAAGCACCAGAACAATACCCTCTTTAATAAGTCCTGACTTAAAAGAAATTGTAGACAGATACTACAGCTTCTACAGAACAGCAATCTGTACTATACATGAGGAAAAAACAGTCTTGAAGAATAAGTTAATTCAGTACATAGATTTTTAGTGTTAGGTCTCATCAATAAATTGACAAAGATTTCTGTACTCACACTTCAGAACATCTTCTGCTAGGCTGAGAATTCTGTGAGGTATCAAGTTGTGACTTTTTCCCCCCAAACCTTCTGCATATCCAAAAGTTTTTTATAACATTGTAAGCAAAATAAAGTTACAAGCTCACAAAAAGGATCCTAAACCCAATTACTCTCATCTTGCACGGTTTTTACTCTTAAGTTACTTAGTAGACACGATTAAGAGAGACATAAAGAGGAGTAAACCAAGCAATTGCACAAAGTCTCAACTCCTGCTCGGCAAACTAAGCAAATCAGCAGCTGAGCCCTGTGCCTCCCTGCTATCTTCCAGGCCTCTCTTCCTTTCTCTCACCTGGTCACATCAGGCAACCACTGCACGGTAAGGCTGGGCCACTCCAGAGCATGTGTCATAACCAGGTCGTACAAGAAGGGGGTGTTTTTCTTCCAGATCTTGTACTCCTCGCTGATGACGCGCTCCTCCACTGTGTCCTCCAGCACTGCCGGAATAGAAAGAGATGAACCAGGGCATCGGTACCTGCCGCCGCTGAGGCGAGGAGGGGCGGGGCTGGGGAGGGGTGTGTGTGTGCAGCGCCAAAGGCTGGGGCTATACCAGGGAGGAGGCGAGGTGGGAGAGGGGGTCCTGAAGCGCCCTCAGGGGCGGGCGGCGGGGGCACCCAGCAAC